CCTCCCGCACCGGCTCCGCCGCAACCGCCGCACAGACGTGGCACTGGGATGGGCGGGGCCCCGCGCTCACGCACGCCGGAGCGCAGCCAATCGCCGCCCGCCGGCCCCGCCCTCGGCTCCGCGCGCCCAGAACTCCGGGCCGCCCCCCCCGCCGGACCTCGCGACCTTCGCTAAAAGCCCCGCCCCCGCGCGCGGATTGGGCGGATTGGGCGGTGTGGCCCCGCCCTCTCCCTCCCTGATAGAGCCCCGCCCCTCCCCGTCACGTGGCGCACTCGCCCTGGCAGCGCGGACAAGATGGCGGGCGCCGTACGGGGGTTGGTGCGTGTCCAGGCCTCAGCCCTCCCCGGCCTCAGCTCCTCCCGCCGCTCCTCCCGCCGCTCTCCCGCCACAAGGGCCGTCTCTACCGTGGTGGCGGCCCCGAGGGGCCCGGCGGGCGGAAGGCAGCGAGGCCTTCTGCCAGGGCCTGAAGTCTGAGGCGTTTGCCGTTCCCTGACAGGGTTTTGAGGCCTGAAGGAGAATCGCACGCTTTCCCTGAACTAGCATCCCTCCAGGAGCGAGGCGGGTGGCAGGGGAGCGGCCAGTGCCCCTCAGCACGGGGAGTGATTTCTCCTCAGTGGGGTGGGTCCTTCTCCTCTCAGCGCGATGCAGGGGGTTGTTTGCTGGGTCACGCCTTCCTCTCATGCATGCCTGCTTTCTCTTTACAGCTTGGCGGTTTGGTTTTTTTCAGCCAGGATTGTCTTTTGGGAGAAGGTAAAAGTGAGGCCTGGACAACAGGAAGGTCAGTGGAGATCCATCAGAGGGTTTTGAGAAGCAGCAGGTCACCAGCCACCTCACAGGGTGTAATTGCTGGCTTCTTTGCATACGTTTCCCTGCGTTTTCACTGGGGTTTGGCCTCAGGAGTTCTGGGAAGCTGCTTGGTGGTTTCAAAGGGCTGCTGTCTTTAATCCAGAGCTGGCCATAGGTCAGGAGGGGCTTACAGGTACCTGTGGAGGGATGGCTCAGACAAAAGGACTGTACAAAGGTTTCTCTTTTCTCCCGAGGAATTGCTGGTGGCAGGAGTGTTTGTTACAAAAGCATCACTCGCTTTGATACTTCTTGTCTTTGGGGGGATTGGTTTTGGCCATCACTCCCCTTGGCTGAGACCTGCTGTCCTGTGCTGGGGTGGGCCTTCTTCAGCCTCTAAGGCTGGCAGGGGGCAGGAGTGAGGGGTTTTCTCCCTTTTCAATGCAAAAAACCCCAACAGAGATGGTCTTGAGAGATTGTTTTATAAATAGCTGAAGCCAAGGCACGCGTGGAGCAGGAGGCCTGCTTAACGAGATAATTATACAACGTGCTTCTGAGACATGATTTTCATTTTCCAGGGTTTCCCCCCCCCTTCCCCGTTACGTTACCCTCGGAATGAATCACTCTCTGTTACAAATCAACATTACTCAGTTTTGACTTCTTGGGGCCCAGGGTGACCAAGATGACACACGCTGACCTCCCTGGGCTCGGGCACACCCAAAGTCTGGGGGCGATGCCCCAAACTTGTCCAGGACTGGGGGCTGCTTGGGTGAATCACTATGAATATTAACCTTTTCTGACTGCAAATATTAAGCTTTTATTGTAAGGGAAAGGCATAAAGTGGCTGGGAGCTTTCCTTTCCCGTCCCTTCTCTACCTCCTTTTGTTTTGAGGGATGAAGAGGACTGGGAAGGTCCCATCCCTGCTAAAAAATGAACAATTTGTCTCACTTCTGGGCATGAAAAGGAATGGAGAAGCGCTGCTTTGGCTGGTTAAATGGGGAAACTGGGACCGTGGACACATTTCTACTGGGAGATGTCCCTGCCCAGGCATCAAGTTGGAACTTAATGATCTTTAAGGTCCCTTCCAACTCCAACCATGCTGTGATTCTATGATTTCCACTGGGTGAAAGATGAGATTTAACTTAACCCCCTGGATGGTGCCTTTTCCTCGATGGAAAGATTTTAGGGATACGAGGTAGATTTTGCATTTTGTCTCAGTAACTGTTGAAAAGTCATGACTTTTTGAAAAGCCAAACAGTGCCGTAACGAGGCTGTGGCCACATGGGGTCAGCCCAGCTCTCCCCA